GCAGATCTTTGAACGGACACTTCTCCAATGTGTGTGTCTGGGCCCCCTGGGGATGTTGGTGACATGCAAGTGGTAGTTCAGCGGGCTTAAGTGGTCATCCAGTATTTTGAGCCAACTTTGAGTGACCTCCTATTGCTGGCCTGGGATCACACCATGAAGGGCAAGGTGGCAGCCCCGTGGGAGCCAGTGCTGGGTGGGGGTGGGAGTAGGAGGTCTGTGGTCCAGTAGATCTGGGATGGGATCCCTGTTTAGGCACCTGCGGGCTGAGACCTGGGTAAGGTGCCTGACTTCTCTAAGCCTGTTTCACTGCGAACAAGAACTAATCACAGAACACACCATCCAGAAGCTATGAGGATTACACGCAGTGACATCTGGAGAATACAGAGCCTGGTAGAGAAAGGAAGCTCCCCTAGGAGCAGCCCATACACCCCTGAGAACGCCCAGAGATGCTGGAGAGAGACGGTTTTTGTTCTGAATCTGACCCCTTGCCCAGGGCACCATTTACCCAAGAGTAATGTCTCCCTTCATTGCTTTTATACGTACAGTGGGAGGGGGCTGCTAAGTGATGGGTGGGCAGGAGACAGGCTGGTAAAGGGCTGCTGCAGGTGCCAGGGGAATGTACCTTATGAAACAAAAGATGCACCTCATCTGCCAGCTTGCACTCTCTCCTTGGGAAACTCACACTCTCGCCTAGGTGTAGACTCACACAGTGCCTGATTTCACTTTGTGAAGCACCTGGAAAAGGTACAGGCTTGGAAACAAAGTAATTGGTGGCTGCCATGTGCCAGGAATGGGTGAGTGAGGACCAACTGCTCAGTGGGACAGGGTTTCCTTTTGGGATGGGCAACAAAGATGTTTTGGAGATGGAGGTGGTAGTTGCACAACATTGCGAATTTACCAAATACCACTGAATTGGACACTTTGAAATGGTTTTGTTATGTAAATTTCACCTCAATTTTTAAAAGGTTCTTTCAGCGTTTCTGAGTATCTTATGCCCCTACCTTCAGTCCCATTTTTTTTTCCTGACGAGAAGTCAACTGTTAATCTTACTAGGGTTCCCTTAAGTGTGATGAGTAATTTTTCTCTGGATACTTTTAAGATTTTCTTGTCTTTCGAAATTATGACTATGTTTGACTAAGGCTCTTTGAGCTTATCCTCCTTGAAATGTGCTGAATTTCCTGGGTGTGTAGGCGGTTTCTGATCATATTTGGTAAGTTTCCAGCCACTATTATTTTGAATCTTTTTTCTTCTCCTTTCCCTCTCCTCTCTCCTGGTGCTTATATTTTGTGTACATTGGTGCTTGCTGGTATCCTGCATTTCTGAATCTTTGTTCTTTTTCTTAATTTTTCCCGTCTTTTAGATCACATGATTCCTATCAGTCTTTGAGTTTGCTGATTCTTTTGCTACCTAAAATCTACAATAGTGGAAATAAAAATGCACTAGAGGAATGGGACTCAACTATAGTGACATTTTCATTTCACTGCGTTTTCAACACCAGAATTTCTATTTGGTTTTTAAAAGAAAAAACTCTATCTCTATTGGTATTATTATTTTATATAGTGATGGGGTCTTGCTATGTTGCTCAGTCTGGTCTTAAACTCCCGGCCTCTAATGATCCTTCCACCTCGACCTCCCTAAGTAATGGGATTATAGGTGTGAGCCAGTGTTGGGCCCTTTTTGGCATTATTTGATGACACGTTGTCATCATGCCTTCATTAAGTGGGGTTTCTTTTAGTTCTCTGAACATATTTATAATGGCTGCTTTGAAGTCTTTTGTCTGCTCAGATCAACACCTGGGCACCTCAAAGTCAGTTTCTACTGCCTCCCTTTCAGCTTGCGCATGTGACACTTTCCTGTTTCTTTCAATGTCTTAACTTTTTTGGGGCAGAAACTGGACATTTTAGATAATATATTATGGCAACTGGCTACCCCTGGGGCTTGCTTTTGTTTAGTGGCCGTCTATGGACTTATCTAGGATTCAAATAGTTGAGTTTTTTGGGGGGAATACGTGCCTATAAATGTAAAGACTGCACAGTGCCTGCACTCTGCTTGCCCACTGCCAGCAGCCAGGACAGTCTCTGGTGGCAGGGACGGGCACTGGTCCATGTGCACGCTCCACACCCTGGCTTCAGGCATCTTATGGGATAGAGGTGAGGCCTCCATGCAGGACATTAGCACCTTCCTGTTCATTTATTTTTTTTATAAAGATGAGGTCTCATTTTGTTGCCCAGGCTGGTCTGAAATGCCTGGCGTCAAGTGATATACTCATCTTGGCCTCCCAAAGTGCTGGGATCACCTGCCTAGCCCCAAAGAGGTGCACCTTTATGCATACTGAAATACCAAATACAACCTGAGGGCAAACACATGTATATTTTTTTAATTGGACTTGGCTTTGATGAGTACTGAACAAACCCTGCAGACACTAGTACAATTTTATCGTAAACAAAGCCCTTGCCAACAGAGTTAGGCAATATCAGAGAAAATACAGAAAAATTAAAAGACAGACTCAATTTCATATTCTTTTCAACACTAACAAATGTTTCTAGATTTTTCTTAGACTTGTCTTTGTGCTTTCAGTTTAGTAAAAGTTAGAAAGGATAATGAACTTGTAAAGTCTGATATCTAATTGTACAAAATTGACCAGACCTATGAAGGTGGGGAGATCAACATTTTACAAAATAGTATTATTTCAGATTACCAACATTATTTCCTTTTCAGAACTTCCAAGTCCCTAGGCAATTTTACCTAGGAAAATAATACACATCATATAGAAAACTGGTATTTTAGACACATTTTCTTTATGTGACATGTTCTTGTGTGCATACGTAATGAGAATTTAAAAAAAAAATCTTTTCTTCCAGTCGCCAAAACCTTGGCATTAAAAATAAGCCACTGTAAACCTATTTGACTTACCCTCAAAAAGGACTAAGTCAGGATGGACTTAGAGGAGGACAAATAGAATCTGAGACACACACTGTTCCTCCTGGGCAGGATATCTCAGGAGGTCTTGGACAGAAGGTGTGTTTACAGGACACTCACTGGTGCCTCAGCAGAGTCAGACGGTGCAGAAGTGCTGTGAGGAAACATCCCTGCAGCAGTCTGTAGAACAGCTGTGCCATTTTGCCTAGAATGCTTTGCTGAGACATCTCAACACTGCTGGAGTGTATGGCCCACTTGGCGATACAACTTATCTTTAAAGCTGAAAGAAAAATTACTAGAAAAATATTCTGAGTAAGGATAATGAAACTTTTTAAAAATGAAAAGTTAAAAATATTTGCTCACTTTAATCCTTCTGCTATATCAGTTTTGGTTTTCAATGTGATTTTAAGGATTATATCACACACAGCCCACTAAAACCATGCAACCATAAGGTTATGCTGCACATTAGACTTCTCATTACAGTGACTATTGAACAGCACAATGTTAATCATTTCTTTTCATGGCTAATTATGACAAATTTGATTACAGAGTAGGCAAAAACAAAGTTAACACTCCTTCTCATAGAGTCTTCATTGATTAGGTTAACAGCACCCCACCACCAAGTCAGTTCTGATATTTGCAGATGAAGCTCGACCCTTGGTTACACAGATGAATGAAGTCAAAGTCACATCTGTGCAGCTCTACAGTCCCAGCGAGCCTCTGGGGTCGGCCAAAGCCACAGGCAGCACCACCCAAGCCACCTGGGATGAGGAAGAACAGTGAAGAGGACTAGCCTAGGTTTTGGTGATAAACCAGAGCTCCCACATGGGGGTGCAAGGGGGGATGGGAGGACTTTTACTTGTAGGCCCGAGATCTCCTGAGCAGAAAGCAGGCCACCTGGGAGAGCATGAGCATATCAGACAAATGACACACCAGGTGAATTCTTTCCACTTAGAATTCATAACTGCCTAAGTCATAGACACAGAGCCTGGCCTCAGTGCTGTCCTTAGGGGGCCACTTGGCTGAGTTTGCATCTCCTCCATTTTTCAGGCTCAAAGTACAGATGTTTTCTTAATCAAGTGGGCACGACTCTAAAATAAGTCCCATTTCTGTTTTTCCAACTGATGTCTGAGAGCCTTCCACCCCAATTTTTGGAACTAACTAAAATGAGAACTGTATAAGGACCTGTAAGTACAAGCTCCCATACTTTAGACAGCAGGTAGCTGTGAACAAATGCAGGTGCACAATTCTCCAGCTGCCAGGTCCCCGCCAGCAGAGCCAGGCTCTGGCCATGGTGAGCACACCTCTGGGGAAACAGGCTACCCCAACGTGGGAGTGCCACTGTGGGGACCAAGTCACTTAGTGCCTTGGCTCAAACACTGATTGATGTCAAGAGAGTGAAGTGTAGGACTTGGGAGAATGCGTGTGCTTGTGGCAAAGACACTGCAGACCTCAGTAGAGGCCCTTGGTGTGAGGCCAAGTCCTAGTGAGAGCAAAGGGGGTTGCTGGCCCCCGAGAAGACACTTTGGGCTTGCTGTAGAGGTAGGAAAACAGGGAAGGAATCAGGGAAGGGTGGAGGAGAAGAAAAGCCTTAGAGCAGTCTCCTCTCTCCCCACACCCCACCCCTCCACTCCCCTAGCTGATTACATGTAGAAAAGCTAGGGTATTGCTGATTCTGTTAAAGAATCATCCCTATTGGTAAACTGCCAAACACTCACAGAACACGGGAACGCAGCCCTACATGCTCATAAAAGAAAACAGATTAGACTAGAAAGAACCAGAAAACCAGCCCAGCATGGCAAACACAGTGAGAGTACCAAAGTTCTGCATTAACTGATGGCAGATTAGGAAGCAGAATTCATACCTTCATCGTGCTAACAGCATCAATCTAGTCAAAGTTATAAAGCAACGTGCTCTCCTCAGCTTCACACAAGGCCTGCTCCTACACTCATGGAATCACCAAAACTACCCCAAAATATGAATCCCAGACACTCAAACACAAACAACTTTGGAAGCAAAAATTTCAGCAGGATGCCTGTAGGCTCCAACAGAAGCAGTGAGGAAGCAGCAGTGTTACAGCTCACATTCAGAATCTCGATACATGACTTTGGAATTTATAAAATAATAAAAAAGGCCCTACATTCTCAAAGTTATAATTTATAGAATATTTTGTACAAAAGCAGTCTTTAAAAATGGACTCGGCTATAATCCTCAGAAGAAATCCATGGCCGTCGGCCTTCTCTTGGGAGTGATGGTCAGCGGCTTCTTGATGGCCAGGGGTGTGCTGGCAGGTGAGCTGGTGGGGGTCTTCAGCACTCCGTGGAGGGGCCTCTGCTCTGGGTTGAATGCCACTCGGGAGGGGCCCGTGGGACTGACCAAGATACTCTTGTCTGTCTTCTTGAATTCTGTCCCAAATGAAAGCAAGGCCCCATATTAACTGGGGATGGTCTCTGTCCCTTTGACCAGCTAGACAGTATCTTACCTCACTGCCATCCCCGCCCACTTGCTCAGGGCAGGGAAATGTCCTCAGAAGAGCCCTCAGGGGCAAGCCCCGAGAGCTTTCTGAGGACAAGAAGGTAGCGAGGTCACTTTATGGCATTAACTTACCCTTCCAGGGAGATGCCCTGGGGTATGGGCACACTGAGGGGAGGATGGACTCAGGGTGCAGGGTGTTTTGGACAACTGGGAACCCACGTCTTTCCCTTGGGGAGTGTGGGGTCCTGCCATCTCTCCATTTCTAAAGATGAGATTGCACTTGCTCCTCAGGTCTCCCAGAGTCTCTCTTCCCTAAACATACACTCGATTTCTTGTGGTCCCTAACAAGAGTCAGGTTTTAAGCTCATCACAATACTTTAAAGCAAGATAAATGGATACACCAGTATGAGAACTAGTAAGATAAGATGCCCCTCCTCTGTCTTCCTGAGAAGTAGGAAGCTCTGAATTTGGAAGGTGCTTGGGAAACAGCCTTCTAGTCATTCTCTTAAGGTCCTAGGCAACCTGTTCCTCACCTGCTATGGCTCCACTCACAGCTCTGTGAGGATGAGGGACACACAGTGGGCACTTCCTTCTGACTCAAACTGGCAGAGAGGCAGGCCCTTAGCCTCCTGGTCCAGGACCTCCTCACTGCCAAGTGGAAGACCCCCTGCCTCAATGGGACTGCAAGCTGTCACAGGGAGCCTAGTTTGTGCTCCAGACCAAAGTCTGTTAAAAAAAATTGCTTACCCACCTGCAGTCATGTTTCTGTTCAACCCAAAGGTGACTTTCTTGGAGCTGGACGGTGTCTTACTTAGCTGCAGAAGAAAAACAAAAGTAGTAAAAGGATTAACACATTTTTAGTTGAGGTGCTTAATCTCTCTGTCAGAGTTTTTTTTGAGTACTTGACCAGGAGGGAACACCACACATAGTTGCTTGCTGACCAGCACACATGTGCAGAGGACAAAGGGATGGTGGTCCCAAAACTTAAATGCTCCATGGCTGGATGTGGTGGCTCATGCTTGTAATCCCAGAACTTTGGGAGGCCGATACAGAAGGACTGCTTGAGGCCAGGAATTCAAGACCACCCTGAACAACACAGTGAGAACCCTTCTACAAAAATAAAAAAGTCCCACTGCTGGGTCTTTGTCAGGCCTGTGTTACCGCGCTTCCTTCAGCTCTGAGGCGTTTGTGCAGGTACCCTCAGAACACTCTGCAGTTACCTGCCTCATCGCTGGTCACAGGGCTCTGTGTTCTGGTGATAAAAGCAAAACAAAATGAGGATGTTTGAAGCCTCCTAAATAAGAGGAAAAGAAATTAACAATAGAAAAACTAGGCGGGCATGCTGATTCATGCCTGTAATCCCAGCATTTTGGGAGGCTGAGGCAGAAGGATTGCTTGAGTCCAGGGGTTGGAGATCAGCCTAGGCAACACAGTAAGACCTTGTCTCTACAGAAAAATAAGCTAGGCATGGTGGCATGTGCCTGTAATCCCAGTTGCTTGGGAGGCTGACACAGGAGGATCACCTGAGCTCAGGAGTTCAAGGCTGCAGTGAGCCATGATTGCCCACTGTACTCCAGTTTGGGTGACAAAGTAAGACTTGCCTCAAAAAAAAAAGAAAAAGAACTATAAAGACACACATTAATAACTCCCATTCCTTTTGTCCCAGAGTTTTGAAGCTTTAACTTGAAGATCACATGAAGTTGATTAGATTATACATATAGTGAAATGTAACTTTAATGAGCAATGAATAGAGATTTTCCAACTTTTTTTTTTTTTTTTGAGTTGGAGTCACTCTGTCGCCCAGACTGGAGTGCAGTGGCCGCTCCCAGCCACCGCAATCTCGACCTGCTGGGCTCCGGCGATCCTTCCACCTCAGCCTTCCTAGTAGCCGGAATTACAGGCACGTGCTACCACGCCCGGCTAATTTTTTGATTTATTGTAGAGATGAAGTCTCGCCTGCCCAGGCGGGTCTTGAACCCACGGGCTCAGGCAATCCACTCACCTCAGCCTCCCAAAGGCCACGGGATTACAGGCTGAGCCACCGAGCCCAGCTGATTTTCCAACTTTTTAATGCATAAAGGGCTCTAAATTATCTGGATATCCCAACAGGTCACCAAATTAACCACATTCTTCCCTATTTGAAAGGTTCCTAGGAGTTGATCCACCTTGCATTACGAAGCACTTCTTCAAATCCCTTCTTAGAATCCATGTTTCCATATGGGTCGCCTCTACCTTTAACAACATGAACATATCATGAAGGGAGCCCGGCTTCTACAGACCGAGCTGTGACCCTGCAAGGCAGAAGGCGTGGCATCAATTGTACCTCAAAGTCTCCCTGACCAGTTCCTTTGGGTGGGTCCCTCACTCTGATCCCTCTGGGCTGTCTTAGATCACCCAGCAACCACCACTGCTACCAGGGCTGGAAATGTATCTGGAGGCGGCCTGGGCTCCTCTGACAGCAACCTGCCTGCTGTGAACAGGTTGAGACCCTGCCTGCTAGGTGCACCTGGGTTCAGGAGGGCCACTGTGGGGCCCCAGGTCTGGCACCCAGATCCATATCAGCTCAAGCCTGTTGTGGTGGGAATGAGCTGCATAGCTCTGAGACACGTGACAATGGTGCGTACCTGGACGGCAGGACCTGGAGAGTAGGTGGAAGGGTTACTCTTCGCTTTCCTGAAGAACAGGGGCTTTGGCGAGAAGAGGGTGTCAAACTTCACGAAGTCATTCTCTGTCCTCAGCTGTTGCTTCTTCAAAGGGCCAAAAGTCCCGCTGCTTCCCTATGTGAGCAAGGGATGAGAAGTGGGGGAGGGAGGGTCACACAACGGTGGCTGTGTGTCACACTCCTGCACACAGGAAGCCCCCAGCAGGCAGCCCATGGCCTGCTGTTTCCCGTTCTAGGTCTGCAAAGAGCCCTCTACTAAGCAATGCACAGGATTCACACACAAAACCCCCCTTCCCTATCATGGCACTTAGCAACAGGGTGACAGACATATCTTCTCAGGGATAAGAATCCATTTTTATGATCTTTATCTTCAGACTTAGGTCCCGTGGTGAGTATTTTTGCTTTTCAAAGCCCAGCTGTTAAATACGAATCCATTTTCTCATTTGTGGTTAAAGTGTCGCTGTTGGCTGATGGCCTGGTGTGGAGTGCAGGTGACACACAGATGGGCTCTGTAGGCCCACAGATGCATCCAGGACACTCATCGGGTGTGGGGCAACTGACAACTCCCTAAAGACCTGGCTCTAGTTTATGGGTCTCAGGCATCAGGGAAACCCACTGGGCTGCTGTCGTGTGGGTGGTGTTGGTCTGGTTTGCTGCCACCAGGGAAGGGTAGGCCCAGAAGTCTTCTCCTGTGGCCAGCCCCTCACCCCTGGCAGGACAGATATCAGCCACATCATCCCTGTTGGGAGGAAAAGTCTAGCCTGACACTGGGGCCTGAGGAAACAGGAAGAAAGGCAACATATCTGACTCTTTGTGAGGGAAGCACAGTGTGAACAGTGGGAGGTGCAGGCTATAGACAGGGAGTAGCACCGCTGGAGGGAAAGGTCAAGACTGGAAATGGACCTCCAGTGTAGCAGCCTGTTTCCCCTAGCTAAGGCCACGAACTCACTCACTAACCACTTGGAAATACTGTGGGCCTCAAGCCAGCACTTAACCAAACCCACACAAGTCCCTTTAATCAAAGGCCTCCATGTCAAAACCACTGCAAAGTGGTATGTCACAGATGCTGACTGAGGGTCAGCAAACTTCCTATAAAGGGCCAGAGTAAGTGTTTTGGCTTTTGCTGGCCATAAGGTCTTTGTCACCACTACTCAACTCTGCCCTGTAGAAAGGAAGTAGCTACAGCCAGCGCACACAAGAAAGGGCATGGCTCTGCTCCCACAAAACTGCTGGCCCTGGCAGGAAGCACACTGCCCAGAGATGCTTGAGGACCAATCGAGAGCCTGGCTCCTTGTGTCCATCTGGTCTAGGGGATCCAAGCAGAAGAAAGCCTTTTCAGAAGAAGATAAGGAAGACAAAAGAATTCTGGCTTCCTCTTTTGCAAAAGGGGCTGAGTTGATGAAAATGAGACCGGCACTTAGAGAGACACAGGCCTGCCAGTTGACACCTGGGGCAGCAGTACCTGCCACGGGGATGGTTTTCCCAGCTTGAAGTTAACCCTCCCCTAACCTCTGAGCGCCAGGCCTAGGGCAGTGATGGTGACAGAAGAGGGGAAATTGAATCTGATCACCAAATCAGCCATCTGTTATTTACTTGCTAGTGAAGGTGGCCATAAACATGACCCTTCCTAACTACTACGCAGTCCAGAGGTCACATCATCCCCACTTCTACCCCTGCAGGAGGCAGTGGAGGTCCTGGGCATTTCTGTCCAAAGGCCTCAACATGTTTACCTCTGGGCCTTCCTGCCTTACCAGAGCCTGGGTTTGCCTGACTTCAGATTCCAGCACTCCGTTGTGTTCTACCAAAGTTGACATCTCTCTCATTTTCTTCCTCTTTTTCAAGATTGCCGTTTTCTGATTGGACAGGTCACAGAGATCAAGGCTGCTGGGCTCTGCCTTTTTTTTCTGTAGCCTTCTGCACTGGAACAGGGTGACCTGGCTGCTCCCTCCCTCCATGGGTCTTGCTAGAGAGGCTTCCTTTTGCACCAGAGGCCAGGCCAGCGTGGACAGGCCGTTGCCACTGATTGAAGCAACTCTGAGCTTCCGCTTCTTTTTCAGGACCTGGGCTCCACCTGTCAGGGAACCTCTGATAACAGGTCCCTGAGGCTGCCCATTGCTTGGGCTACTCTGAGACATGTCCTCTGGAGGCAACGCTGCTAATTCCGGGATCTCCCCGCGGGTCCTCAGGCTCTTCTTCCGCGGTCGTTTCCTTTTATTGTGTATGGGGACCACAGGGGGGTGCTCAGAACCACTCTCCTCCCCAGTGCTGGATGTAGCCTCTGAGCCCACCTCGGCCACATTCGCCTTCTGGGCTTTCCTCTGCATGGCCTCTGGCTCCTTGCCCTTATTCTGTTCTGGGGATGGGGCTCCAACCCCTGGGCCTGAATTTTCAGGCTGGGGGTGGGTCTTCTTCTTCTTTTTTCTTTTTCTCTTTTGAATACTGCTTTCAGTATACTCTTCCTCGATAGGCAGGACTTGATTTCCTGTAAAGATACATAAACTGATAAACAAGCACCCACGCCAAGGTGAGACCAAGTTTTGCTGGTGACTCTGAGACAGTCTGACAGACAGAATGTTCTGACATTTCACCACCAGGAGAGATCTGTCCTCCTTGGGGTACTTGGCGTATCCACTAGTGGTGTCATCTGGCCCCATTCCCTCCACTCCTGACTGGAAGCCTTCCTCCTGTCCATTTCAATATAAACAGAATCAAATAGCCAGATTTCTATTAATTTTAAGATCAAATGGTAAAAACCACAGATCCAGAGCAGCCACCAAACAAACGTTTCACAGCATTCTGTTTTTACCCTCTTGCCCCTCAGAGATGCCCTTGAGAGTACGTGCTTTCATTTGAGTGAGGCTAGAATGATGGTTCCAAAAAAATAAAACATTTGGGAAAAAACATCTTTACTTTCCAGCCATTAAAGCTTTTTGCTCTAACAATCATTTATTTATTAATCTCACTCTGTCACCCAGGCTGGAGTGCAGTGTGTA